AGTAGTGGTTGGTGGTTGAGTCGCCCTTTCAGTAGTGGTTGGTGGTTGTGTCGCTCTTTCAGTAGTAGTTGGTGGTTGTGTCGCTCTTTCAGTAGCGGTTGGTGGTTGTGTCGCTCTTTCAGTAGTGGTTGGTGGTTGTGTTGCTTTTTCAGTAGTAGTTGGTGGTTGTGTTGCCTTGCTGGTAGTGGTCGGGGGTTGTGTTGCTTTTTCAGTAGTGGTTGGGGGTTGGGTCGCCTTGGTAGTGGTTGGAGGCAATGTAGTGGGAGGTATATTTTCACCTAAAAATAGAGTAAAATTATTTTAAATTAAGACTAAGTGTTGGAGATGTTGAATACCCCCGAGCTAATAATAACATTAGCCTTTTTCCCTTCCTCTCCCTAACCTTAAGATAAGCTTAAGATGAGAGGGTACTACGGTTATATTGTCAGAGAGAAGTTGGTCTGGTAACCGCGATTTTCTTCGACCAAACTCATTGTAACAGTTTTGCATTCTATATCCGCTGTTTTTGAAGACCACAGACTGCACAATGGCTTATAACCTCGTTTATAAGTCAGCTATTCACAGATACTATTAAATGTCCGTGGGATTTCAAAAGATTGGTGTTATTCAACGCTACACATTCTTTTTACATTACAGTTTTCGTTTGCAAATGATTTGCTCTTTAACAAGGCTAAGCCTGTGCAGACGAGTCTTTAGTCATAAAATACAGCTGTTCAGTACCAAATGAGAAAAAAGAATATTAAGTTTTAGTGGACCAGCAACTTTATGGCAAGAAAGATGGATTAGGAACACATACTATGATATTATCAAAAGTATTATCAAATCTTCACTTTCTGTTGACATTGAACCTTGACATTGAAAACATTGATTTTTTAAGTCGCATCCTCTTAAAGTTCTTACTATAAACTTACAGCACTCCTCGTCTCGTCTGTTACTGCAGTCTGGCCTTTTATCACACTTCCAGGATAGCGGGATGCAAGTGGTATCGTTACAGGGGAATTCTTGAGGCCCACAGCCTAACTCGCTTTCATCCTCTGTTTTAATGATGTAGAAAAAAACATCAATATACAAATTAAAACCCTTAAATATAGTAGTAGAGTTTTTTTAAGCAAATTAGTGCCAATAAAGGAAGCATCGGTGTACCATAGTACTCATTTTCATCGTTTTACGATCATGCTGTATCTGAAAGATACTTACTGCATTCTTGGCAGCACTTTCCCGGGATGTCGACTAGAACTTGACGTTTACCTCCAGCTGGTTTCTAATGAAGGTAACAGCAAAAAGATTTTAAGATCTAAATTAATACATCCATCCATCCATTAATACATCGACTAGAACTTGACGTTTACCTCCAGCTGGTTTCTAATGAAGGTAACAGCAAAAAGATTTTAAGATCTAAATTAATACATCCATCCATCCATTAATACATCGACTAGAACTTGACGTTTACCTCCAGCTGGTTTCTAATGAAGGTAACAGCAAAAAGATTTTAAGATCTAAATTAATACATCCAAGCAAACAAGCAGACAAAAGAAGAAACAGTTGGCAAGCAAACAACTACAAGACGAATAAAACAAAAGCAGCAAACTAATGATAACAGCAAAAACACAACTGCACAATTTACGCAAAACTGTTTAATTGATCTAATGCAATTCTGCAACGAATCTTTAAGCACAGAAGAGTTATTATTTTAAAAAATGATGCCGGGGAACAAGAGGGAGGTACCCGTGCCCATTCCGTTCTGTCCAATAATGCCTCCCACACGAGATGTAGCGTCTCCAGCATCAACCGTTATCCTTGATACACGTCAAGCCTCACTGGGTTAAATCAAACCTTGACTTCCAGACCTCCTTCCCTCATACCTTCCACGAATACTGGCTACGCCCCTCTTTATGGGTTCTGTTAGTTTATCATTAATCTGTTAATCTTAACTTAAACTTACACGACCAGTATTGCAAGTAATACGCAGTTATTACTTCTTGCTTGTTCACAGCAGTTTGCTTGCAATATGCAACAGCTATAGTTTAATACTTACACAACCAGTATTACAAGTTTTGTTAGGACAGACAATCAACTCTACGAGAACTGTAGCTCCAGTTGGTGAGCTGTCGTCTGGTTTGCATTCTTTCCACGTGCACCGATCGACCTGCCATCGCTCACCAGGCTGAAAAACGAAGGTTAGTCAAAATACTATAAGACAGGCAAAACGTTATTTCTGAGTTCAATAGGATTTGTAAACTGTTTTTTATTTATGCTTTGTTTAGTAATAACGCACACAGAGAGTGGCGAAAGTAGCTTAAAAAAACATCTTTCCACATCTGGTATTAATCAACAGGTGAGTTGAGTGTTGTCCATTGTAAATAATGAATGTAGTGGTAGTGCGCGTGGAGCAAACCTCATGGAAGAGCCCCGTACGGGGAGTGTTGGTTGTAAAATAGAATTTTTTAAAAACTTATCCGTAAAGCTAAATGTGACATGGGGCGCGCAAGGGAGGCATCAACGCTCTAGTAGGTTAAGAAATCATTGTCATATCATTGACATATTAAGAGTTACACGTTTATTAGCTTAGCTTCCTTAGGTATTTAGTGCAACCCTCGGGTAATTGTTTACGCACTCAGCAACTTCTCGTGACATTTTCGTGACATTCTTCAGATATTTCAATAATTTACCTTCTTTTTGATTCCCTGGAATAAACAGTACGGTTCTGGAAACATAAAAGTATATAAGATTAATCCATCGAAATTAAAATGATTATGTCTTTTTAGGTTAATAAAAAGTGAATGAAAATGTTGGAGTAAGTCGAACCCCTACACACCAAACTTGCCCTCCTGCCTTTCCTTTTCAAAAATAAAGCGAATTATTCGATGACGTTCTAGGGCTAGAAGTAGTTTTAATTTGTCATGGTATAATGAAAGGTTCTGAAAACACCTTACCGACTCCACAGCCGTAAAGCTCTGCCCGAAGACTGATTGGAAAACCATCGTTTTGCTTTTTGATTGGTCGTATCCTGATGTACCTCGTTGTGATTGGTCGGGGGAGTTGGTTGTATTTGATGTCATCAAGAATCCCGTAAGGAAACCCAAGACCATTTCCATCAAAAACCTGGTAAGAAATTTCAAAAATATTTTGGCGGTTCCGTTCGTTCAATTCCCCCCAAACATCTACCTTGCTTCTAGCCCCAATCCAAACACTTCGCTTTTTAAACATCGCCCTCAGTCCCGCGCGGCTATTTTCGATCGACAATGCCCAGCATGGAAAAAACAATACGAAAGCAATGGAAAACCATCGGCAAACGCCAGTTACGCAGGCTACCTTCCTTCCAGTTTTTGCCTGCTGACAAACCTCTCTGTACTTCTCTCTACCTGTCAGTGTGGCTGAAAAAATGCCTTCTTAATGTATCATGAACTTTACACAACTCAACAACACTCACAACGACGTCTCCAAAGCTATCCATGTAGTTCATCCAGTTCTGTCCATCTGCACTGTGTTGAATGGTATATTTCATGACAAATTCCTCTTCCCACGGGTGTCCTTGGGTAGCAATCTGCGTAACCATGGTGAGGTTCCCTAGAAAGACCTGGAAGTATGGGTGGTCGTCTCTAAAAGTGGGTTGCCATGCCAGGTTTGGGTTGTTTAGACGTCCCTCTCTCGCTGAGGCATCTGAATCGAGCTCTGATGATGAACTAAGATAACTATCTGGGATTCGTTTGTCCTGTACTCCAAGTCCAAGGGTTTCTCTACAATACAAACCTGTAACATACGTATTAAGAAAGGAAACATTTGTTTAAAGAAAATAAGGATTATTTAGAATAAAGTAAGAAAGGAATTGCATCTAGTGCAGTATTAATTKTTTTTAATGGTTGATGATAGTACTATACGCAGTCATCATGTTTTCCAACGTAATGGCACGCTTTCTGCTTCTTGAAAGAAAAAAGGTTTCAATAACTGAAGAAAAATACTCATAATGTGAATTAATAACTTTATAAAGAGAACAACTTTAAAGCGGCCACGTGGGCAGTCAACCAAGATTGGCTGCTTAATATAAGTCGTAGTAGTATAGTACAACTTTATTTAAACACGATTGAGTATTATTTCAAAAAACTGTCCGCGAGAAGTGATGGTTGAGAGTCCGGATATAGAACTAGATTGAAAACTCTTTCTTACCAGTTGTCGGAACGATAGGTGTAGTAGTAATAGGAATGCCAGTGGTTGTAAGGTTAACTGTGGTAGTGGGTCTTCTTGTTGTCGTTGGTGGTGACTTTGTCGTGGTTGGTTGTTTAGCTGTCGATAAAAGAGCATAAGAAGATTTGTCAATGCCTTTCAAAATATTTCGATAAATTAAAGATAAAAACCTTACCTGTGCTTGTTGCAGCAGATGTTGTGGTTGGAATCGCAGTCGTGGTTGGTGGAGCAGCTGTTGTAAAAATGAAACTAAGTTAGCTTTAAAATTTTATCTCACTCGACAGAGACATGTAGTAGTTTGCAGCAACACTTGCAGCAACGGCCTAAAAAGCAGATCTTTATTTACCAGTTGAACATGGCTTTCCAATACAGTTAGTCAGCTGTCCATCTTTGCATTCACTTGAGAAGAAATGTTAACAAAATGTAAGATATATAGACTACAACAACTAAAATCTTTTTTAAGCAGGGTGTGGGCATTGTTTTACTGACAGTCGTCAAGCAGGATACTGTTATGTTAGTTTACGCGCTTCTGGTTTGATTCATAGGCTTGGGATCATGTTTGATTTTTCCATCGCGTTCAAGGATGTTTACGAGTTTTCTTGTTTTCCTCCGATCGTATTAACTACCTACTCAATACTAATTTAGTGTGTGAATAGCCGAGGTAGACTTAAATCAGCCAAGACGTTGTTTCGATGCTTTCTTAGGTTACAAAATGAAAAGTTATTTAGGTCACGAAAGGAAAACCCCATGGATCCCTCCCTGGATTTGAAACTGAATAACTCCCTATGCCACTCACCATTGCTGGCAGTTTTTGTAGACCTTATCACCAGGTTTATAGACTTTGCCATCGTGGACACAAGGACACTGACTTCTCTTTATACACATTATCTTGCCAGCAGCATTAACAGTTTGTGTATACCCCTCCTTACACGAACATCCTTCTACACATCTCATAGTGCAGGTTTTGTTTTGTCCAGGGGGGTCACTGCAAGTCTCGGGACAAGCTGTTGCACAGTTTTTGAACACTGCGTTTTCTGGGCAAGTCACATCTACGTACAAAAAAAGAAATCTGATGATTACAAATATTATTTAAATATTTTATTGAACGTTGAGCAAATTTGAATAATGCCATAACAAAAGTCACTTTTCTAAAAAAAATTCCAAGACTCGAAAACCGTGAGGTATGAATTTTGAAGTGCGATATTTTCAAAAGTTTCTTCTAAAGTTTGGTTCTAACTCTATCAGGCTCAGGTCAAACGTCGAATTTCACATGAGCCGAATCTAATTGAAACAATGGATAACAAGGCGCTCTTCTTTGATTTAGCTCGACGTTTCACTTGAGAACCACACAGCTTGGGCTAAAGGTAATGTAGTGTGCTGTACACGATTTCCTATGAGTCATGAATACTAAACTATATAAGCTGTTATCCTGTATGTTATTGGTAGTATGCAAAGACCTTATCAATATTTCTCCCATTTCAGACCTATTTCATTCTCTTGAGTGTTATGTCTTTATCCACCATTTCTTTTCGACGCAAACAAAGGATCTTATTCTCAAGAGAAAAAATAATGAAATGGGGAAGAATTATTGTTACAACCAAGTGGATTAGATCTACTATATTGTGCTCTTGCATCAGCCCATTACTGTGAATATACATGATTAATGATTAATATCAATCTGCCAATAAATACTTTAACGCTAACCTTAATTATAACTTACCGCACTTTTCCTTTCTCCAGTCGATGATGACCCCAGCAGAAAGGCATTCATAAGCATACGCAGCGATTGCTTCACAGGTACACTCACAATCACCAACCATATCGCAGCCACACGTGTCGTACACACATCGTTCATAGTACTGGTCTGGATCCACATGTAAATGACAAGGTTTGAAGACATTAGACTTGATAATTGCACATGCCGCGTGTGATCTAGCCTCCCTGTGCTGGTTCACTTTACAGGGATGCTGTGGTTCTTTAGTCTTCGTACAATCACCCCGTACCCTCCAACTATCCCCGAAAGGATAAGGCGAGGTCTCTTCAATACCATTCTTTGCCAGGAAGTCGTTTGTCATATCACCATCAAAATTCCCGCACAGACCGCAAACCTTGGACCAGTGTTTACTGTTAGGATTCATCTCAATGTACAGCCGCGTTCCTCTGTCCCATACCACGTTAAGACCAAACGGCGTCTTAATAATCACATATAAACCGGCATAGACCAAGGAAAACTCAGCGCGCACCGGAGAGATGTTTGGGAGACGAAGAACGGATGGCTTCTCTTTTCCACGAACCAGGTGAATAACGGTATCGTGTATCGTGACAGTCACGGACTTGGTGCAGGTCACGCCAGTAGATCCACATGGAATATTTTCAGCGTCTACTCTAAAAGATTGCACGGTCACGTTAGATCCGGGACATTTGTCTGTGGTCATCACGTAATTACAGCCACCCTGGAAACTATACAAGCGGCCATCGAATGTCTTGTAGTGAGGGTCACCGAACGCTGTGCAAGTTCCTGGTAATAAAAGCATTCAAATAAAGCATTATTATATCCCAACGCATTAATATAACATAAATGTATAACAGTGAAATTAAGTGCTAAGATTTATCAGGGATCTGTTACTAAGGTAGGGATTTCCAGGTTATTTATAGAGCGTTTTCACGTGACGTCATTATGGAGTACCAAAACAACACATTTTCTATCCTCCGGGAATTGAACTCTATTTTTATACAAATACTGTGCAGAAAGTTTCTATTGTTTATGGCTGCCTTCTCACGTAAGTGAAAACGCTTTATTAACAAGAGTAGATAGTAGTAGATCTCGGATATGGCGAAATGCGCTAAAATCGATAACAAATTTATAGCGCAGAAGCAAAATACAATTAAACGAATACTAGATTACCTCTACATTTCTTGCTGGTGCACTGCCATGCATTATTCTTGCAGACACTGAACAATGAAAACAGTGGATAGTCAGTGGGTAGTCATTGTGAAGCGTAATATCCAAGTAAGTGCATCAATCATCAAGCTTTAGATGTATACACATGTGGGGATGGTAAGCAGATAATGTCCGTCTGGTGGGATTTCGAGTACAAGTTGTGTGTTTCAAACTATTAACCGTAGTCGTACTACATTTTACCTTTGAACTACCTGCACCTCTATGTGATAAGGTATATAGCAAGACTTAACAAAAATAATAAAAGCAGTGGCGGCACGTTTTTATTCTTACGCGGCCGAAATCTCTAAAGTATACGTTTATTATCTGAATGAAAACCACTCATGGAAAAGTTGGCGTAAACATTCTAAGTGCTTATGAATATGGCTAATATGTCTGTTATTAACTCGTAGGGATTCCGCCTATGCATTTCAATCTTAAGGCAAGACTCATAAAGACTTGCGCAACGTCGGTTACTATCTGGCTCTTAATTTTAATTTAATTTTAATTTTTGTGGCGTTTTCTTACCAAGTGTTGCAATCTCTTTTAATGACATCACCACTCTTGTAGCTTTTACCATTATAATAACAAGGACAAGTGCTTGATAAAATACAAGTTCCCTTATCTTGTACGTAACCTTGAGGACAGACACATCCTGCCTTAYAGATCACGGTGCTGCAGCCCATATGCATGGTCTTACAGGTTTGTGGACACTGCGCACCACATTTAGACCAGATTTGACCCACGGGGCACTTGTTTTCTGTGTAAATCATACCAAGTAGAAAATCAAAATAAAGTCAACATACTCTTATATATTTTAATCATGTACTAGACGTAATATATGCTTACCTTGACAAATCTTGTTAGAACAAATAAGTTTACCTCTGTGGCAAATGCTGCAATCGAAGAAACAACTTGGTGAAGGCAATTATGCACTCAATGTAAGTTTTTCCATCTCGTCTTTTATGTTATAGTTAAATACCGAGAACAGAGGCATTAAGCCATATAAAGCCCGAGAGCTATAGGGCAAAATACATTAGTGTTCATGGAATGTATGTAGATAAAGCCCTTGAATTCGTAATGAGAAGGGCAATATGGGATATAAAGCTCTATGAATAACAGAGAAAACCGTGTCAAGTATGATATAAGTGGATTACTCAGGAGAAAATATTTTAGCAAATTTTGCAGCAGCATTAGTTACAGCCTCTTGTTGTGTTTTTTGGTGAGAAGAAAATTCAGTCACAACGGCACACAAGTCCCAGTAGTCCAAATAGTAGAGCATCCGAATAGAATGCTGAAGGTCGTGAGTTCAATCCCATCTGGATCTTACATTTATTCTGAGTTCCTTTTGTTTCAGCATATATCACTTCAACGTTAGTCATCTAGTATAGAAGCTTTTTACCATCATGTGATGGCAGCCATGTTAGATGACAGGAACAATACAATCGTTTGACATGAGAAATAATTCAATTCCCAAGGGATTTTTATTGTCCTGCCATCTAACCACAGGCAGTCCAAGCTGTATTATGGGCACCGGCACCTGCAAAGCCTCTATCGTATCTCATTTCGAGTCCTTGTACTCACCAATCATTACATTTGATCTTTGTCCGTGCATTGTACATATAGTGTCTTCCTTCACTGTCATAGCAAGGACAGTAAGCAATATTCACGCACTTCCCTTCTCGCGAGTCGTACAGTTTACCACTGGGACATCGACATCCGGGAACGCACTGCTCTACACATGACTGGTTTTTGATTGACAGGTCCTTACAAGAAGTTACACAAGATGATCCACACTCCTTGTATTCCATCCCATCAGGGCATTTCATCGCTTGAGGAATAGATAGATTTATTCACTAACATAACGTATTCATAGGTATGGAAAAATTATTAAGGAAGATCAAAGTTTATAGTAAATGCTGAACAATTTTTGGGCTGGTCAAAGTCAGGGCACAGTTAATTAACTTACACACCGATAAATAAAACCAAAACACGGAGCCTCAATGAGAAACCGAGAAGGCTGCAGCCACTTTTAAAATGCTGCACGATCACTTTTTAACTAATGCCAAATCATCTTCTGAGCTAGAGTTTCCAAAGAAACAACCTTGAAACAACTTTATTATTTAAGTCAGGGCATACTCATGGATGAGGGAATTAGAGATTAGCTTGTACAGTCAACTCTCGTTACAGCGGACACCCTCGGGACCGTTACTTCATGTCCTTAATAGCGAGTGTCCGCAATACCGAGAATTAATTACGGTCATTTCTTTGTCAATATTTCTCCAGATTTTTCTCCAGTCCGTAATAGTGAGTTGTCCGTAATATCGGGATGTCCGCAAGGAGAGAGTTGACTGTACGAGGGACAACATCGTAACTTTAGTGTGGTACTCACGACATGTCCCATTGACGCGCCAATTGATGGCAACACCCTGCATGGAGCATTGCTTAGCGTAGGCAGCCATAACAGAACAATGACAGTCTCTTCCATCGCACCCACACACGTCCTGTATACAGTTCTCCACAAATGGTTTGGGATCCACGTAACCATGGCAATCTGTGAATGGCGCCTGCTCGAGTTTTGTGCACACGGCGTCTGCGTATTTCTTATTTTGTTGGTAGATCTCACATGGTTTGAGTTTCACGTTGTCGTTGGGGACATCCACGCAGTTGCCTTCAGCCCAGCTGTTTCCAAAGCTTATTGCTGACTCTTCGATTCCAAAATCATCTTTGGTGTTAAAATTGAAATTTCCGCAAAGTCCTTGAACCTTAAATCGAAGAACCAGTTTGAACTTAAAAAGTTTAACGTGTCACTCTCTTCAGAATGAAATTCTCTGCTTGGGTCAATCCATATTCATGTATTTTCTCATGTGAGAAATAGTAATTTAAATAGTGCATGATCTGCGTGAAGTTGGGTAACATTATATACCAAAGCTAGAGAGGTCTATTAGCCCTTACCTTTCCAGAATGGCTTGGAGTTAGAGTCACATACAGATTCTTTATTCCATCCCACGAGACMGTCAGCCCATTATCTCCATGAAACTCAACCAAGTTCGTCGAAAGTCTCCTAAACTGAAACCCTCTCATTCTGTCATACACTGGCATCAATACCGGTTGGTTACCGTTCTGACCGGGATACTGTACGTGGACCGTGTCTTTTAGAGGATGATTATGAGCCAATGAGATGCTCACGTTGTTGTAATCAATGACAGCGGATTTGACGCAGCTGCTCTTTTGATTCGACGAGCAGGATGCCGTATTGATGACGACAGAGAAGAAATTGTCACGTGATTCCACCAGTCGGTATTGGCATTTTCCTTCGAATGAGTATGCCTTGCCATCGAAGGTCATGTAATGAGGATCACCGTATGTGTAACAGGTTCCTGTAAGCATAAAAACCGAATAAGTTACCTTGAGATTCATGGACTCAGAGAGAGAGTAAATTCACTGGAATCCTCTTCATACCTGGACATCTGTTTTTGGTGCAAGTCCATGTTCCTCCGTTGCAGTTACTAAAGAAAAAAAACACAAGAAAACTTGATAATGTAATCTTACAAGCCATTTTCAATAATTACGCGAGTAGCACAGTCAAAGTCGTCTGTTTTTTTTTTTCAATCAAAAAATACCAGTTCAAACAATCAAGAAGCCAGACATCTTAGTCTGTGCCTGTCGCGTAATTATGAAAATGGAACTAAGAGACTGATAAAATGCATGATGCTAACGTTTTTTTCATTTTTGTTTGTTTCGAACAATAAAATAAAGGTTTATACAGTATGTCGAGTTATTTTGCTATCGATAGACATCATCTGCGTTAGAATCTTGTCTGAAATTGTTCCCAAATTAATTTTACAATAGACATGTACACGGATGCATTACTACATAGCGTAGGCAATGTTTGCCCTTCAACGAGGGATGGTACCAAGCAATACTTCACATACCAATTGTTACAGCCAACCCGTATCGTCTTCCCACTTGGATAATTAACATCATTATGACGACAGGGGCACTGGCTCTGCAAAAGACAATCCCCTGCCGGGCCCTGTACTCGACCAGCAGGACAGTGACAACCATCTATACATGTTTCTTTACAAGTAGGCTGAAGATCATCTGACTCACAGGTCTTGGTGCAGGCTGGTCCACATTCTGAGTACACCTTAGAATTCCTGCACGTTTTGGCTGCAGAAAAGACAAGAGAGTAATTGAGTAAAGATATCCTTCAGTAGCGCTAGCATGATTTATTATTACGAAGGGATCAAATGAAGCCTAGTAAATGTTATTGTAAAGAAGTCCAAAATTGAAGATCTTGGTAGTTAATGTAATTATCAAACTCATTAATGATTCATGAGAAAAACACAACAGAAATCACGACCGTGAAGAGTGTTGTAAATCTGATACAAAACTGTGTTCATTTGCATAAACTTTAAGTTGGATTTTCTTGGCCAAATTTATTTTAATTTTGAAAATTTTAGTGAAACACAAAGGAACTAACCTAGACGTTTGATAAGTCATATACAGTATTCGTGGCCGTGTTGTATCAGATATACAATCACTCGGTTACGCCTCGTGGTTGTATATCTGATACAACACGGCCACTCATACTGTAGACATTACTTAAATAGCTATAAAGTAAAACATGTCATGATTCTATAATATACTACAGTAATAATAATAGGTGGTTATGTTTACAATCAATCCCAAGAAAATGAAAATGGTTCAGCTATAAAGCCAATAAGAACTCTTTTTTTATGCAGCCAATGGCAGCTATGAAAACTAGCAATAGGGATATTAATTTTGACTTGAATGATGTAATGAAACTAACAAAAATGCTTGCTTTCGTCCCTGAAATACCTCAGTTTAAACGCCTAGTAGTATGTTATACAGGATAATCTATTATTTAGAATAATTTATCACAAATGATAATTTCCTTCCTAGCTTATGAATAAAATTTATCAATAGCATGTTATTAATACTTACGACACAAATACTTGCTCCTCCAGTTCAGCGTCACTCCCTTGTTAGCGCATGCTCGCGAGTATTGTGTCAAAGCCTCACACTGACATCCCGAGTGCTGTCCAAAGTTGCACGTACAAACATCGAGCTCACATCTTTCCACGAAACTTTTTGGATCAACTTTAGAATGACATGCACTAAAATGCTCTCCAAGTAGCACCATACACATTCTCCTAGCGCTTTGACTTATCAAACTACTAGCATTCTTACAAACATCCATATTCACAGAACTTGCTGGTGGACATGTTTCCTTGGGGTTCGGCATGGCCCAGCTGTCGGCCAGTTCGGCTACGCTAGAAGCTTTTTGGTTTGTGTTCGCTTTGAAGAGGTCGTCGTCAGGCACGCCGTTGTAGTTACCACACAATCCGCACGTAGTGTTCTTGTACTTACTGGCCAGTCCTACGTATACACCTGATACGCCATCAAACTTGACCTCTAGATCGTCCCCCCAGGCGCGCATGATGACGTAGGATAATACTTTAGATATAGACACACTGGAATCTTTATAGGGAAGAAGTATTTTCTTGTCATCCACGGTCACTGTATTCCCCGTTGCAACTTTGTATACCTTTTCACCAATATACATCAACACGGCTCGCGTACAAACAGAGCTCTTAAGTCTGTCACAGGATTTATCGTTTTGGACGTGGATTGCGAATTGATCTGATCCAGGGGTACAGTCTTTAGCTAAGGCATAACTGCACTTGCCAGTGAAGTCAAGGTGAACGCCATCAAATGTACGATAGTGGGTCTGACCCCATGATAAACAGTGGCCTTCCTTCTTGGTAGAAATTGTGAGTGCACGGGCTAYAACACATGGACAATGATCAGGATTGTTAGCTTGGTATTAAAAAAATACGGTCAATCTCTTTTATTTGATACTTCGCGAATATATCATTTATACAAATAGATATTAAAATAAAAAACACATGATGTTTAAGGCCTTTTTTCATTGCGCTTTATAACATATATAACACTAAACCTATCATCACAGACGTGCGCAAGGTCGTGTTTGAACTAATAGACTTACCAGCACGTAGGTGAACATCTTGTGGCGAGTCTAATTCAACACTGTAAGTGCTGTCATACTCAATAACATCTGCATAAAAAACACGTGAAACTGACAAGGATTACAATACAGACACACTAACCAGGACCACGTGAACAAGATTCAAGATAAAAAAAAGATTTAGCCAATCAGAAAAGAGCAAAATCAGTATCTTATTGACCTCAGCCAATCGCAATCTCTCATTCACAAGGTTGTTGATAACATCTAAGTATTTTTCGAATATCTTGGCTTCATTGCTCGTTCCTGACTGGCTTGACTTGTGTTTGATTCCTTTGCTTCTATGTCGTGATTGATCAGTATTCTTCCAGTGGTCCCAGTTAGTGTGTCTGCGCATTAAAAACGCAATTATTGTACATGTGTTCTATATGCAATCTATTCATTTTAATGAGAAATACGTCCTTAGGGATCGCACACTATACTGTTAGAAAAAAAGCTAATGGATTTTTTTCGTAATTGAAAAGATCCTTTCACTAGATGTGAACTCCATTAAACGTTGACTATTTCACATCTAGTGAAAAGACCTTTTTCGTAATTGAAAAGAGAGTAATGATAGTCTAGGGAATCACACGTGGTCCAAGCTAAGAATGTGTTAATGGTCCCACAGTTTCTATACACCTGTAGGATTTTACCAGTCTCTCCATTTCAGACAAGGTGTAGGAGACTACATGCATCTTGGCAGCAGGGATTACCTTTTTCGCACCTTTCCCCCGTGTGATCAGCATCGCACACACAAACACCAGGAGATACACACATTCCTCCATTCTTGCACGGTGGATCGCAGGCAGCTGTATCGTAAAACAAACACTACTATGAACTTGAATAGATGGTGCAACATCCAAATATGCTATTGCGTCGTCTTTTACAAATGTACATGTGACCCGGGTTCGAGTCTTGCCGGGGCCTGCGGAGCTCGGTGACATATGTGAGCAAAAGGTGATTGTTGAATCTCTGTGCTTCGAGGGTTTTTCTCCGGATTCTCTGGTTTTCTTCCCTCCTCAAAGATCAACGTCTAATTTCTAATTGGATCTTAGAAGATATCACATCATATTCTCGATAGGGCTAACCTCTTATATCTTTCGCACTATAATGCGAATAAATTGGTTATTTTGAACAATAATTGTGTTCTCGTTTGTAATTAAAGTGTGTCCGTCGTTGTTACGTTGTTGGGGCTTAACTTTGTTTAAAAAGTAAGTCCTTTCTCTGTATTTATCTCTGTGTGTGTTTCAGTCTGCTGGTGTTTGTTTTTTWAAATTTGTTATTATTATCAGAGAAAGAAATGCATTTTAAAAAACCGCATGGAACATTTAAACTTTACATATTTTTTGTAAACGATAAGTAGTAATTAATGAATAACTGCACTAACCGTTCTCGCAGCTCATTCCTTGCCAACCTTTTGGGCATGCGCACTTGTCTTGTGCAATACACGTACCTCCATTCACACACTCTGGATCGCACGTGAATTCTGTAAAAAAAAAAAGTGTGATCTATATTTGTTTAGCAAAAAAGTGCTCATAAGATGCCATTTCCTGTCTTGTGTGAAATGTTCATCAGCTAATGGTTAGTAGAGGGGAATTACTAACTATGATCAGCTGAATCGCAAGTTTTCAGTAGAATTCTTTCTGGCTGACAGCACATGTTGGTCAGTGTTTGACCACCATTTGGAGCATATAATTCACTATTTTCCATACAACGATTCACTAGTCAAAAAGAGGCTTTATATTTTAACTTGCAGCCTTGACTAAATGTTTTGTGTTCAGTGACCATTGAACAGAACCGATATTGGCATTGTATGGAAAGTTGTGAATGCGAATCACATGAGAAGTTCAGCAATTGATTGAAATCCAATCATATGCCAACCCGAAGAAAAATGTAATAAATGACATAGATGGAGGCCAGCAAGGTTAGGAAGACTCTCCGTACAATACCCTGTATGGCTCAAGGTCCAAAGAGTTAGTAAAATGTCTTTATTCTCTATATCTTTAATATACGTGAGTTATGGCACGGTACGTAGCCAGCTGTTTCTTTATGTTGCAAAAGCTCCCATTAATAGACCGTCTTAGCTTGGGAGTAATGTTTTCCCATTTCAGACCACGTGTCATTCCCTTGAATACCATTCCTTTTTTACGGTTGCACATGAAAAGACGCATAAATTATGACAATACCAAAACAAATAATCTAGTTTCCAAGAAAACGAAAATGCAGGTGGTCGGTAATGGGAAAACATTACGTCCAGGGTAAAGAGGTGGCAACTTTACCTGACACTGGCTGGTCACAGTTTTTGCCAGTAAAACCCTCACAACAGTTGGTGTCGTCCAGGTATTTTACTTTCCGTTGAACAACCTTGCTTGATGGTACACGTTCGGTACTAAAAACGAACAATATACTGAATACATATATTCTTATTATATTCTTGTTACATTCTTATTATATTCTTGTTCTTTCATATTTCAATATCCTAAAAATTACATCCTATTCATTCGTTATTCCCATTTATAATTCATATTTATTCAATTGTCTTCATAGCCAAGAATAAGGCAGTTCAAATGTCATAAGCCCTGTGGTTTCTTTTTGGACTCTCTTCTGTCTTCTGTCTTGCTTTACTAGTAGAAGAATATCAAAAACTGAATAGCATAGCGATAATACTTTTTCGGGAGCAAACTAACGTTTTTTATCCAATTACCGTAAGCTGGGTTACTCACTTAAATGTTTTTTCTTTAAAAGTAAATAGAATTTAAATGTTTTTCCCCCTTTAAATATAGCTTTTTCTCCCTAGAAAATATGTTTAAAACCGACGGTTGAAGGAATAAAGAGAAAAGATCCACTTTAAAAAAATTATCTTTATCATTATAATTCAGTTTTCTTTAAATCTTTTGAAATTATTTTAGAAAGGAAACGGGAATTTGTTGAAAAACTTCGGGCTATCATCGTTGGTTCTTATCATTCATTAGGCGAGTGACATGTTTCATCTTGTAAAATTTGCTCTGTACGGAAGCCGCGATGATGTGCAAACAAAACCACTGGACACGAAAGGGTAAGCAAAGACAGACCGAAATGCAAGATTCAGCTCTGTTTACATGGTTTATATTGATAAGACTTTGCACTTTACCATGAATGAATGAAACGTGATATTTAGCATTAACACTCACGATGGTACCGAATTTGGTGCAGAAAGAAAATGAAGAATACCCGATTTAACCAATCAGCAGATTGTTAATTCCTCACTTTACATAGAGTGTGACATTTTGCGCCATTTATTTCCCGATGGTAACTGAATTCCTTGTGTGAAAAAAACAACAACAACAACAAA